ATTATGTACATAATATAATATTTTATAACATTCTATAATGCTTTCTATTTCTATGGAAAACTCGAGCAAGAATTAAAAACGCAGATCGCTGTGCTAATTATTAGGTTGCGGAGACTTATGCGAAATAAAAATGATCTTCGACAATTGCACCAAATAGGAGTCGGACGGAATCTTTTTTTTTCGTCTCTTAAGCCTTTGAACTTGAGCGTGACTCTTAGGCACCACTAAAATTGCTATACAGGATTTCCCATAATTATAGTAACACCTGGAAAGATATGATTCCTGAGGTCATTTGAAGTAACTTTCTCCTTGGCAATAATGTTCTACGAGGCTTCGTTTACGAGTTATTGGCGAAAAACAGTGACCAATGAGAGGCGAGCTTGGCTGGCGCCAAGCGACCGAGCCAATCAGCGGGACCGGGCTTCGCGCGCTCGTTGGCTTGGCCGCCTCGCGCCAGAAGAACTCGTCTCTCATTGGCCACGGTTTTTCGCTAATAACTCGTAAACAAAGCTTCGTAGGACATTTTCGCTAAGGAAAAAGTTACTTGAAATGACATCAGGAATCGCCCCATTGTCGGCTACTAACATAATTATGGGAGACTCTAATATAACTTTTCAAAATGACCTTGAAATGATCTTGCAAACGCTCACACGTTAAAAAGCTACTTGACTCTCCACTCGAAATACTAAAGAACATGTGTCAGTTTGTTTTCGTATACTGGGTGTCTCAGATCACCAGTACACTCCCATTAAAATGGAGGGGAATGATTTTTATTGAAAAGCAACAAAATTTTGATAACGGCCTTACTTGCAGTTTCCGGCAATGACCGGAAATATGGGCTTTTTAGACCGGAAATTGTTTTCCTTTTTTAAATGACATAACCTGGAATTTTTTTATTAAATATTCAGATTGCACGCGAAAAAGAAAATATAAAAGTATCGTCTCGAATATTTATTTTACAAGTTGAAGCTCGAAACGAGTATGGAGAAGAAAAATTCAATTCATGTCGCGGCCATTTTTATTTCTCTCTTTTATCGATACACAAACGTCAAAATATTTTGCCAAGTGGCACGGAATTTCCATAAAAAACATCGGGATATCAATAATGAATATGATTTAATGGACAGCACCGCGTTTAAATGAAAACGAAACTAGGATTACGGTCAAACAATGGCGTTGCCGATATAATTCGAAGGGAGGACCACGAAATTATTGGGTTATCCTGACGCGATGTGCCGGGCTTTATGGAAATTTCTGTCATGTTCAGGTGCAATAATCGGGCAACCGTAAAAGTTTTGTATGCATTACCGATACATACGGTATTAATTTCCCGCCGCGGAAAATGACGAGCCTTTTCTGGTCTCGTGATTTTCCATTCAGCGATGATTGGAGATTAAAGTAAACGCTAATAACATTGCCAATAAAAGCTGCAGATTTTATGCGCGTATGAAAAAAAGAAAAATGGTTGAATCGAATGGAATTACCGAGCGATATAGACGCTGAAACCATTTTAGAATATTCTCACAGTTTCCGAGGTTCGTCGACATTTTTCAATTAAATGTGGCACGGTCCTCGATGGTGATAAATCCGATCTCATTTGTTTTATATAGGTAAGCGATATCGTTAAAATTCCGCGTAAAATTCGATATATTTTAACGAATTATAATATTTTAATTAAATTTTAATTAAAAGTACATATTACATTGAAGCACGCAACACGTTAATTCCGTTGCAATATTCTCTTGGTTAATGAATGATACTGAAAATAGAAGTAAAGGAGGAATGAAAAATAAATAGAAACGCGAAGAAAATGTAAAATACAAAAATAAAATGTAATTATACAAAAATAAAATAAAAAATACTAAAATAAAATACGAAATCCAAAGAAAATACAAGGATACAAAGATAAAATAAAAAATACAAAAATAAAATTATGAGAATACAGAAATAAAATACGAAATGCAAAAATAAAATAAAAGAATACAAAAATAAAATGCACGAATACAAAAATAAAGTGCAGGAATACAAAAATAAAATAAAAATGCAGAAATAATATAGAAGAATACAAAAATAAAATGCAAAATACGAAAATAATATAAAAAATGCAAAAATAATATAGAAGAATACAAAAATAAAATGCAAAATACCAAAATAATATAAAAAATGAAAAAATAAAATAGAATAATACAAAAATAAAATGAATAATGCAAAAATAAAATAGAGGAATACAAAAATAAAATGCAAGATACCAAAACAAAATGCAAAATATAAAAATAAAATACAGCAATACAAAAGCAAAATAAAAATTGCAGAAATAAAACAGGAGACTGCAAAAGTGAAATGAAAAATACTCAAATAAACTAAAAATTGCAAATCGAAAAATCGCAGAGGAATGAAATTAACATTTTCGTTGGCACGATGCAAATATTTGTTACCTGTATGCGTTTCTCTTCGTAGAGGAAGATGATGGGCGTGCTAAATAGCGCGGAAAGGCTCCAGGCAGCGACCACCAACGCCCTTGCCCTCCACCCTGCGACCACAGTCGGTAATCCCGTTTACATTGGCACGGTCTCAGCTTTCGTTTCGGGTCGGGACGCGCCGTTAAATCGACTTCCGCGGTGGCGGCAATTTTATAAACGGGCCGAACGCCGACGGTCGCCGGCTTACGGGGGTAAATGAACGGATGCAGGTGCTCCCGGATCGCGGAACTTTCCCGTTTCCCGGTGCTTCTTTCGGAAGTTTCGCGGCAGCTGACCCTCCCTCCCCCCTTTCCGCGTAATGGTGAAGAATAAGGGCGCAGTAAGGCCACAGGCTTGCGCCGCGCCGGGCAATAAAGAAAGTTTCGGGGGCGAAGTTGCCCCGCTGCCTTGGCCGAGCGGCGTACACCTTTGTCTGCGGGTTATTAACAGGATCGTCGTTAGCGCGGTCACTTCGGCGAAAATCGTTTAGGATCGAGCGACGCGATCGTTCGCTCAACGATAACGGCATTTCTCGAGACATTTCGAACAATGAGACCGGTTCGCCGTGCTCAGTGGTCCGGGAAGCGGCGAATTCTGGCCAAAAGTCGGTCGCGTCAAATTTTTTATTGAAATAAATATTTTTATATTATTACTCAACGAGTAGGTGTGACGCTGCAAAGAGGAGAACTTCGAGTCGAAAATTGAATTTAATTGTTTTTATTATTCGTGATATGGGATACCAAATGCAAGCTGTTTAATAATATTTTTATACATTTCAAGAACTATATTTTGTTATTTTTGACCGGCGAAGAGAAAATGTTACTATATTATATATATATTTATTATTAAAAAATATTAAAATTAAAATATTAAATATAATAAATAAAATATTAAATATTATCATAATATATTTATTTTTTTTTTTTTAAATTAATCTCTGTTTTCTAATATACATGGTGTTCCACAATTACTTTAACAGCCGAAAATGAGGGGTAGCCAATTTCATATGTTACACACAAGGTGTCATGCACACTAGAAAATTAATACGGCCGTCACGCTTAAATTACTTACTATTTCGGGTCCGAAAAATTAGTAAATATTCTTCAGACGTTCTAAAGTAAAGGTGAACAGCGTTTTTTTAAAAATATCACTGTTACGTAGTAAAAAAAATCCGGAATGCTCTCGCTTCGTGATTTGTTCAATACTTCGAACGCGGCTCGAGTCCGTCCCGACCATCTGTCAAAGCCTCGTGCTGCGGGCTCTCGAACTTCGCGCCGTCACCTCTCATTGGTCAGTGTTTTCCGNATACTTCGAACGCGGCTCGAGTCCGTCCCGACCATCTGTCAAAGCCTCGTGCTGCGGGCTCTCAAACATCGCGCCGTCACCTCTCATTGGGCAGTGTTTTCCGTTAACAAAAGTGTGTTTGTTTTCGTAAACAAAGCCGCAGATTGCATTTTCGCAAAAGAAAAGGTTACTTCAAATGACCACAGCTACCCCTCATTTTCGGCTGTTAAAATAATTGTGGAACACCCTGTATATACAGCGATATTTCGTCGACTTTTCTTCACATCTTTTGGACGTTTTCGTGTTTTCTCCATCGTAGATTGCATTGTCGAGCACGGCGTGTTGCGATACGACGCGCCTATCGTCACTCGACTAGGTGAGCAAGCTTAAGCGAAGGTGCACGCTGTGTTCTCATGTTCCCAGATTAAATAATACACGCGATTCTCTGGATTAGATGAGCTTTAATAAGATCCCGCTGAGTTGCGACTTTCGCCGCGTCTTTTCGGGATTAAACATAAATCGACGCCGAATAATTAACTTGCGGGTCGTGTCACCACGAAAAGCCAGTACCAACCCGTCGATGGATTAATTAACCGCAGCGAGAGAAGTTTACGGAGTAAATTAAACTGACGCTGTATCGCGGCTACACGGATGGATTCGTTCGCGCGCAGTCTACACGATTTTAATTTATTCTCCGTCCGAGAACACGTCAACAGTACCGAGTGACGGCTAAAAGGGTGCACGAAAGTCCGATAATAAAAGCCATTGTACTTTATTAATAAGAAAATGCCGGAGTTATAGTTTCCACTGATTATAGACTGCAATACCCTATTAGGTGCATTGGCGCACTTGATTGCTCATGGTCTACTCGTTTCTTATTTTTTCGACACGGAAAAGTTGGTGAACATTGTCGAGGCAAAAATGTTCCCGTAGATCCCATGCCAAGGTTCAGTTTAGTTTAGCGATAAAAAAATACGAAAGTTAGCTTAAAGTGTACGGAGCCAAGAATACCCTATTAGGCGCATCGGTGCACTCTATCGCTTATCGCCCACGTAGTTTTCATTTCTTCGTCACTCAAAAATTTATGAGCAATGTTGAAAGGTGATCAGAAGTGCTCACGCAGATCCCAGAACAATAGTCTTCGTACGTCAATAATAAAAAAATGTGAAAATTAGCCTAAAGTGTATGCAGGCCACAATAACCTACTAAATGATTCGGTGGACTTAAATTCTTGTAATTTCCACAATTTTGATCTTTCCATAGGCCAAAAATTCCTGAATATTACCAAGGGATGGTTAGAAATGTTCCCGTAGGTCTCATGCCAAGGGTCATTCTAGTTTAGCGATAAAATAATGCGAAAGTTAGCCTAATGTGTACAGAGCCAAAAATATCCTATTAGGCACTTCGGGGCACTCTATCGCTTATGTCTCTCACAGTTTTCATTTTTTCATCCCTCAAAAATTTATAAGCACTGCTAAAGGATGACGAAAAGTGTACACACAGGTCCCAGAACAAAAGACATCGTATTTCAATAATAAAAAAAATGTGAAAGTTAGCCTAAAGTGTATGCAAACCGCAACACTCTACTAAGCGGATCAATGCACTTTACCTGCTCCTAGTCCTTTCAATTTTGATTTTGTCTCCGCCAAAAAAAATGTTCAAGCATTCCCGAGGGATTGCTAAAAATGTTCACAAAGGTCCCACGACAAAACTCTTCGTACCTGGACGACAAAAAAAATGCGGTTTATCTGGAATACCCAGCTAAGCTAGTTATGAGCGTCTTCGGCATAGTCTGCGGCCGATAAAAAAGTCCGACTAATTGGAGACCGTCTCGGAAGCAGGGCCTGGTTCATTAATGTCCTGGCATCGACGTCGGTGGATCGCCGTTAACGTCGGCAAGGTTTTCACCGTTTTATTTCTTCACGGTTTTTCACCTTTCGACCTGCCGTCGTCGGGGACGCTGCGTCTATTTCTTGTGAGATAAAATGAGAATAAAAGCGTTACGCTCTCGGTAGCCGACTGGCTGAGAGCGATTTCTTGGCTGCCAGTAAATACTCGACTGCGACCGGCGAACGCGGAAGAGCTGCCGCTGCTCCAGAAAATTTCCCGGAGACATCAAGGATTACCGGTGTCCGCGATGAAATGTCGCCGGGTCTGCAACGGACGATGCTACCACGGCGTTGCTCGCGATGCTACCGCGAGGCAATCGATGACAAAGACGTCCCACCATCTCACGATCATTCCATAAACCCGGTTTTCCACTCGTGGACCCGGGACGGCGGGAATATCTTAACGAACCGTGGAACGATGCGTCGTTTACCAGCATCGTCAAAAATTGCCGTAAGATATTCCGGGATAATGCGTGCAACCGAAGGGGAAACGCGAACTTGCGTCGCTGAACTTTAATATCCACGGGTCGTTTGGGTATGAGACCTGTGGGAACATTTTTAAGCATCCCTTGGCAATGTCCACAAATTTTCGGCTAATGGAAAGATCAAAAAATTGTGGGGATTACAAGAATTTAAATTCACTGAATCATTTAGTAAGGTATTGTGGCCTGCATACAGTTTAGGCTAACTTTCACATTTTTTTTATTATTGACGTACGAAGGCTTTTGTTCTGGGACCTGTGTGCACACTTTTCGTCATCCTTTAGCAGTGCTTATAAATTTTTAAGTGATGGAAAAATGAAAACTGTGAGGGCGGTAAGCGATAGAGTGCACTGATGTGCCTTGTAGAGTATTATTGGCTCCGTACACTTTAGGCTTACTTTCGCATTTTTTTTATTGCTAAACTAGATTGACCCTTGGCATGGGACCCACATTAACATTTCTAACCATTCCTTGGCAATATTCAGGAATTTTTGGCTAATGGAAAGATTAAAATGTGTTGAGACTACAAGAATTTAAATCCACTGAATCATTTAGTAGGTTATTGGGGTCTGCATACACTTTAGGCTAACTTTCACATTTTTTTATTGACATAAAAATGAAAACTATGAGAGCCATAAGCGATAGAATGCACTGATGCGCTTTGTCAGGTATTCTTGGCTCCGTACACTTTAGACTAACTTTCGCATTTTTTTATTGCTAAATTAGATTGACCCTTGGCATGGGACCCACATTAACATTTCTAACCATTCTTCGGCAATGTTCACGAATTTTTGCGGCCGGAAAAAATGAGGATTGGGCGAACTATAAGCAATCAAGTGACGCGATATGCCTGATAGGGTATCGTCGTCTGCATACACAATGGGCTAACTTTAACAATTTCTTATTAGCATAATCTACCATGTCCAGCCACAAAATGGCTGTTAACATCAAAACGCGTTCCCCTCGAAACCATTGAACGCCTCGCGAACCATTTCTCGGCACGAGTAATAACATTGGTGTAAATCGAAGCGGCAATATGCGGTGAACCACCCTCTATGAAATGATGCGGCGGTGTCTATGACATGGACTCGAGACACCGTAGCAGTGTTAATATAGGCGGCGGAGCGGAAAAATGGAATGTTAGAGAGCAATACTTACACCTGCCAGTGAAGTTCATCGGTCTGGTGATGGCGTCGTACCTGTCGATGGACAACGCGACGAGCACGTACGTCGAGCTGTAGGTAACGAGAGCTTGCATGAACCTTATCAGCTTGCAGGCAACGTTGCCCGCGTGCCAGGTCACCGTCGTCCGCCAAATTATATCCGTTAGGACGGATATCAGGCCCACCAATAAATCTGCAACAAGATATGCAACGCGGCGCACCGTGGTGATTCATCGCGACGCTATTATTAAACCGTATCCGATCGGCGACCACTTCATTTACGAATGAATGACCGCGGACCGACCAATACGACCCTACCTGACCGACTCAGCGATGATCAGAGCGTGCAAATCTAAGAGGCGAACACGTTCGCGATTACCTGCGAATGTGGTTCTTACGGATTTATGGCAAAATTCTGTCGCTGTAATATAACACTGCGAAGACATAGGGAAACAAAATTTTAATAACATTGTCGCACTGTTTTCTGGGCTTATCAAAATTTTAAAAAAAAGAAAAGAAGACAATAGTGAGACGAAACTTGAAGCTGTGTGTGAAACACAAAGCGTTGACGCTGATAAAATGCAAAGTGAGTCACGAAAGAATGCAGGAACCGAAACGAATGAATAAATATCTCGTAAATCATGTTTCCGATATACGAGTGTACTTATTAGGGCCCGGCGAGCTGGGTTGTCAGAATGAATATACGAGGTGTCTCAAAATTATGGTACCTCCGGGAAGTGAGAGGTTTCTGGGATCAATTGAAGCAACTTTTTCCTTAGCGAAAATATTCTACGAGGCTTCGTTTACGAGTTATTAGCGAAAAACGCCGGCCAATGAGTGGTCGCGCACGGCTGACGGCCCGCCCACGCGAGCGCCGCCGCCGCGTCACATGGCCGGCGCGAGGCGGAGCGCCGGCCGCTCGCGCTTTTCTATTGGCCCGCGTTTTTCGTCAATAACTCGTAAACAAAGCCGCGGAGAAAATTTTTTTAAAGGAAAAAGTTACTCCATATGACCCGAGGAATCGAATACCGTAATTTTAGGATACCCTGTAGATAAGCAGAATAGACATAGAAGACAGCATGTTCGCCAGAGCTGCTCTAGCGTTTGCGATTGTTCGCGCCGCGTCGATTACGTCGCCCTTTATCTCAACTGCCAACCATGACGTCACCGATGACGTCACGTGACATCCGAGAGAATCCCTGGCAACGCAGGTCGCGAGCAATCTCGTTGTTCCATTGCGTCGACAACGGAGGGCCAGCTGGAAATAAAGTAACCGAAGCCGGCGGAACATTTTCCGACGCGTGTCGTCGTCATGTCGTCGCTGAAAATAACTCACTTGATATAAAAACGACCTCATCCGCGGAAAGGTGTACAGAAACAGCGTTGCCCAGGACGTTCCGCGGCCCGTGTTTCCCGCGATTACACAAACGTCGTCGTCGTCACGTTTTATTTTTTTCGCCGACGCGACGTTTCAAATGCCCCTCCTAGAGGAACGATAAACGATCCCTCCGTCGGACGCGATAAAACGGAAGTCGAGCTGTACCGTAGATCGAGCGCAATACGCGAACGATTTCCTGTTTGCACGGCTTTCTTCCTCCGTCGCGCTGCCGCTCAATGATTTTCATTGCTCCCGCTGCCCGGACACCCCTCGCCGACGTCCCTACGGTTCCTGTTAAGGCTTCGTTCACCTTGGGGCAGCATTGTGTTCTTGGGTCCTCGAGCTCTTAGACTTTCGCATCGTCGAGTGATGAAAATTTTGAACGTTTGTGGTATCGGAGAAAGGATTGTTGTGTTCAGTTGTTTGGGGCCACTTGTTGTATACAATTGTCGTTACAATTTCTTCTAGTCACTTGCTTGATCCATTTATTTGACCTGCTTGTTTTTTTATTCATTTGTTTTACACACTGGCTCCCATTCACATATTTCTGTATACTTGTTTCTATCTAGTAGTTTTTATTTAGTTATTTTTATCCACTTGTTTCTATCTAGTAGTTACTATTCCGTTATTTTTATCCATTTGTTCATATCTACTTGCTTCTATCCACTTGTTTGTATCTACTTGTTCCTATCTACTTGTTTCTATCCACTTATTTCTATCCACTTGCATATATCCATTTGTTCTATCCACTCCTTTCTATCTACTTGTTTCTATCAACTTGTCTCTATCTACTAGTTTCAATACACTTATTTCTATCTACTTGTTTCTATATACTAGTTTCCAATACACTTATTTCTATCTACATGTTTCTATATACTAGTTTCAATACACTTATTTCTATCCATTTGTTTCTATCCACTTATTTCTATCGACTTGTTTCTGCCTACTTATTCCTATTCATTTGTTTCTGTCTACTAGTTTCTATCCATTTGTTCTTTCCACTTATTTCTATTTACTAGTTTGTATCCACTTATTTCTATCCACTTGTTTCTATCTACTAGTTTCTATCCACTTATTTCATCAACTTTTGTTCTATCCACTTGTTCCACCTGCTTTTCCTACCCTCTTATCTTGCCCACTTGTTTCACCCACTCGTTTTTATGCACTTTCTTTACCCACTTGTTCAAATCCATTTGTTATGCCAACTAGTTCTACCTGCCTGTTCTTAACCACTTATTCTACCCAGTCCTTCTACCCACTTGTTCTACCCACTTCCTCTGCCCAATTGTTCCAACTGCTCGTTTTACACAATCGCTCCGCCCACTTTCTCCGCTCGCAATCCCCGCCGTCGCACCCCGCCCGTCACCACTCCTGGGCATCGCGTAGTCCGCCCGGAAACAAAGGGCTCACGTTGTCCGCCTCCGCTAATGTGGATCAACCTTTAAGCAGTTGTTTCTCGCGAGAAAGGCGAGCACCCTGGTCCCAATACTCGTTTTCCGATACATCGGCGCGTTTTACGGGACGTCCGATGGATTTTACGGCTGCCGGAGGAGCGGGGGGGGGGGGGGGGGGGCGGGGGGGGGGGGGGGTGGGGGGGGGGGGGGGGGGGGGGGGGGGGGGGGGGGGGCCGTCGTCGTGCGACGGACAAGTAGGTTTACGTCTCCCGTCCCGCCGTACGCCGCGCGCGTTACACGCGCCGGTAAAACGCCACTTACGTTTTGGCGCGTTTTTGCACGTGCGAGAACACCGTTTACGTGCGTCCCCGACGGAATCGATAATGTCGGAGATGTTGTGCGGCGCGGCTGCAGGCGGTGTCACGTGGCCGGACTATATATTTTTTCGTTCGTTTATTTTGGAGACAGCGTCGCCTTTTTTTAGCGACGTACGCGTTGGCGGCTCCGTGAAAAAGCAGCACGTCCGCGGAATCTCCCGGAAATCCAGAGAAATATAGAAATCGTGGCCCGGGGATTAAATAGATCGCGGCACTCTAAAACTAACCTAAATCTTTCCGTTGCGTGTCGTTTCTTTCTTTTCCATACCAACGGTCTGGTTTTCGGATGGATAAACATTTTCCCGGTGAAATTAATCCGAATTAAATAAATCTTAAAAAATTGTTAAACGTCTCGGAAGGTTTCCTTTGCTCTACGACAGGAACGAATGATCAATAAACAATTTCAATTCCGTTGCAATTGGACAGATGTTTGTGTGGTCAAATTAAACCCGCATAATAAATTAATAATTTATATCTAATAATTAGGTCATATATGGATCTACACGTACGTACATATATAAATAACTGTCATATTGCATGTACTTATTATTATTAATTCAGATATAGGTTAATTAATAATTCTATTCCGTTCGCGATAGTCGATATGCGTGACGTCAACCGTGCAACATATAAGAATAGAATATATCGACGAGTTGGACGTAATTTAAGAACTCGTCGCGTTCCCCTGAAATTCGGCTGACGATTCTGAAAATATTTTCGTTCGTCTCCGAATTAAATTATCCGTGTCTCGTTACAAAAGCTTTGTCGAGAAATACTGTACTTTCGTAGCGAATTATAGGTCGCTTAAGAACCACGGAACGAAAATATCGCCACGAATTAGACAGAATCCTCGTGGGAGACAAACAGAGAGAGAGATAGATAGATAGAGAGAGAGAGAGAGAGAGAGAGAGAGAGAGAGAGAGAGAGAGAAAGCTTCGAATTAAACTCGCCGAATTATGTGTACGTTGCGGTTCACGCGAGGCAACCGTAGTATCCCGGAACAATACGGTAATTTAAGTTGAACGCAATAGTCGCGTAATTAAATCCAGCTCGCGCGTGTCCATCTCAGCATTTGCCGCGCTTCGGTATAGTGTAACAGCGCGAGCCCTACCGTTTATGAAATAAATCAAATTGCATTTCACTTTTCGTTCGGTGTACCGCCAATTATTTCATCACTTGCCGGACAGAAACTATATTAATATCTGTTTCGAAATTTTCGCCGGCGATTGTTAAAATTCCATTGTTAATATTTTTCCGCGGAATCACCGACAGATATAATTAAACACGAAACCAAACAAACTTCTCTTTAGAACATCGGAGTCCTTTGTTCGTCGTGAAACGAGACACGAGTCGGTACACCGGTATCGTTAACGAGCCGTTAAGAAAGAAACACGGACCAATAGGAAAACGAGCACAGATGGCGCCACGCGTCTCGGGCAAGTAGCGCGGCGCCGCATTGGCCGCGTGGGAGGGGCGTTGGCCGTGCTCGCTCTCCGATTGGCCCTTGTCTTTCAACAATAGCTCGTTAACCCTTTAATGGCCGCTCATTATTATTTAGGTGATTGTTTTATTAATTATCACACAAAGGAAAGATATTAAATTTGTTGTATTAAATGTGTTGTTATTGTGTGTATAATGCTTTAATTATTATAAAGGTGATTGTATTAATAATTATCACAAAAAGGAACAATTTAAAATTTGTTGCATTAAATGTGTTTTTATTGTATTTTTTTTTGTTTTATATGTATGTTCGCACATGTTGAATTATTTCATGAATTTACATAAATATTGCCGGCCCTTGGCGACGTTCGACTGCGTAGACGTGCGGCCATTAAAGTGTTAACGAAGCCGCGGGGAACATTTTCACATAGAAAAAAGATTTCTCGAATCATTCGTGAAATCGCTCGGTTATCTCTTTTCGGTAATCTGAAAATGTTGCGTCATCTAAAACAGCGCACGGAACGCAACATTGGGCTCCGACTCCTCGGTTGCGCCTCCTGGGCTCCGCTTCCTGGGCTCCGCCTTCTGAGCTCCGCCTACCGCCGCAGTGTCTCGCTCTCTGTGTTGCCTCCGACGGCCGTGAGCGGGGAGTGGGGGCGAGGCGTTGCGGCAGAAGGCGGAGCCCAATGTTACGTTCCGAAGCGTCCCGAGCACTATCTTAGATGATAACTCCGATCTAAAATATAATAATCGACAACAATACATCGATTCACTGTACGTTAAAAATTCGCAGAAAACTATTTCCGTGTGTTCAGCGCGTTTTACAATTCACCGCACAGATCAAAATATCGGATCACGGAAAAGTCTCGTTTGAAATAATTCAACGGTGCACAAACCATCGAACCGATCGCCGAGCTTCTCAAAGGATTATTTTCATTTATTGCACCGTTCATGGAATTTGCCGGTGGACCGGAAAAAGGTGCGACGCCGATAAATACTTACCGGCAAGAGCGAGCTGCTTGATAAAAAAGTCCATCCGCGTTTTCCGGCGCTTTCCCCAGAGAAGGCCAATCAGGACCGCGATGTTCCCCACGACTATCATCGCGAACAGCAACCACAGCACCGTGAATTGTTCCGTCTGCAATAAAAACAAAGAGCCCCGTTAGCACGCGAACAAGCAGTCATGGGTGGCCCGTTTGAGAGCTCCGTGACGATTGTTTTCCGAAGCGACGGCGGCCCGTGTATCGACTTCCGATCGTTCGATACATCGAATGTTTATCGGCCACGCGGTCCAGGTGACAACTTACGTCCCGTTAAAGCGAATCGGCTTATCGGTCGGCAAGAGACACGGACCGATCGGAGAACGGCGACGGCCGGCACTCAATCCGCAATCCAATATTCGCAAGGAAATAGGCTACGCGAGGAGTGGGGGTAACTAACGCATGCGTCAGCATTATAATTTTGAACCACTGTTGCGACACAACGTAGAGACTTATAATTGTAACGCTAGATGCGCCACGCCGCTGCGCGGGACTCCCGCGCATGCGCCGCCTACCCCCACTCCCTGCGTAACTTATTTCTCTGCGAACACTGGTTGTGATACGTTTTATCAACGACATGTTACAGATCATTTCCCGTAGATTTTGACACGCTGATTTCAAATCCGACGTCAAAATTGTTCTAGAACCTCAGGATTTTGAAAAAGCATCGGCTCCAATGGAAATACTGACGAAATCTCGATGATCTTGTTGAAATTATTGGATAACTGATTATTCACCACTTTATTATTTTCGTGTAGTTTGTATCATATATGTGGGAACGCAACGTGCGTTCGAATAAGCTGGTTCTGAAACGATTTTAACGAAAAAGTCACGATTCCGTTAGTCCTTTCATTCGAATCGAACTTTTATCGAAATTCTCAAGCGGATAAATTCTAACGGATAGAGAAATTCTGCGACCGGATGTGAAATCAGCGCGTTAAAATCCACGGGACTCGATGCTCGTTAAATTAAAATTAAACATTTTTTCCTTTCAAGATATCCTGCTGTACTTCAACAAAACACCCTGTATATGTAGCTTCAATTTACATGTAATACTACATGATGTAGCCCATCCTACCAAACAACTTTTGTAGGAATATTTTTTTAATCATAGGAACGTTAAACAATTTAAAATTAAAATCAAACATTTTTTCTTTTGAGATATCCTGCCGAACCCGCTTAAACAAGACACCCTGTATATGTAACAACTGTTTGTAGCAGCTTTAGCGTCAATTTACGTATACAAAAGATTCCCGTAGATTTACGGACGCTTCAAAGCGGATTTACGCGTGGTCAACACTGCGTGGTCGTCGCTGTGAGAGAACGCAGTCGATAATGCAGGTCAATATTGCAACCCATGCGTCATTTGTGTTACACCTTTTATAATAAATTGAGAAAATACACAACGACCAAACGTTATCCATGTAAACACTATACCTCTCGATAAAAAACTATAGCTTGACACAGGAAATTATACCTAAACCACGGTCAATGATCTTGTTACTTTTGTTTCAGTATTTACTGTAACCGGACACCAAACGGCAAACCATTATCACAACTGTACTATTCCACGACGTTTATAACAATTCCAAGCTTTATTCAACAATTTTCCGAAGCATATTTTCGAAGATATTTTTTCGATACTTATTAACCTTTCCGTTGTTTCTAATGCGACAGCAATTTACTGTATTCGAATTTGCCGAGAATTAAGTAACAATAAATAGCAATTAAGTGGTAATCAAGCGATAGTAAATGAGGGTTCAAAATAAATGAAACAGAAAATAGAACGAGAAAAATAAATAAAACGAAACAACGAAAAAAGTAAACAAAAAAGACACCACGAAACAAATGTCCGACAAAGAAACTGTAGTTACTTATGACTCCATCTAGTGGTTTCTTCCCGCGAAACAGTCCCGAAGAAGGTTAAACGAAAACAGAATTCGCACAGCGCTTTCGAAATCCTGGAAACTTGCCGAACACCCTTAAAAACGGATATTCTGTTGATCGTTCGTTATCGTTGTCGCCAAGTCTAACAAGGGTGATGAAAGGGGACTGAGATCGTCGAAACGGTTGAGCAGATTGCCTCGACTGCTCCGTCAGACAACAGCAGAAGTTCTCGGAGATAGACCGGCGCACCGCAAATCCGGAAAGCTCGTACTTCTTTCGGCCAACAGGCTCGGATGGTTTCGCAACGCGATCGGAACAGTCCGCCGGCGAAGTTTGGGGCGGAGGCGGGAAAGCCGACCCGTAAATCGTCGAGGCACGTCGACCGCAAAATAGGAGAAGTCCGCCGACTGTTCCGGCCGTATTTCCTCCGGACCCGACGACATCGGTCATTTATGGAAAATCGATGGGGCCCGCCTCGATCCGTCCGCCGCACCGTGGGCTGGAACCCCGTTTCTCTGGCCGAAATAATCCTCGCCGTTGTCTCAACGCTTCGACCGCCGCGCCATATAACCTCAAAATTTCCACAAAGTCGAAGCGTCCACGCTGCTTAAATTTGACCTGGCCGAATTTGATCGACGATTACTCCGCGAAAAATCATCGTAGCGTGGAGACGTTTTTTTTAAATTGAAGCTTGGAACCTCCACTTTAAGATGGTTTATCTGGATTTCAAGTTCGATGCACTGCAATCACTGTGCCTCTTTAAATATAACCTTAAAAGGACCATCTCTTCAGGCGACTGGCGTATGGGATTGGTAAGGGTCGCTTTAAAGTGCTGTAACTTCGTGAGAAAAAATCGCAGTCCGGTTTCTTTTTTTTTAAACTAAAGGGGAAGAATTGAACTTCATTCGGCTGCAAACGGCATCTCGGAAAAAAGTTTTAGGAAATCCGAGCATTTCGTCAAACTTGGTAATTTTCAATGTGAAAATTCGGGATTTCGAATTTGGGACCTCGCATTTAAAGGATTGTAGTAGTGAGCGTGCGTCGAACTTAAAATCCACAGGCATTATCTTGAAGTAGCGGTTTCAAGCTTTAATTTAGAAACAAACGTCGTCGCCCTACGATGATTTTTCGAGGAATCATCGCCGGTGAAAGTTGGCCGATTTTTATCCAAAATGTATTGTATTTAGTAATTTAATCAAATTATCTCGTATATCTGCTTTTGTTTCCAGTTGCAAATATTTTGGAAAATATTTTTCCGAATCGGAAATATTTTTGGAACAAGAAACGCTAAGCGAGACAATGTATCCGCTTGGACGTCTTCAAATGCTCGCTGGTTGACAGCAGATTTGACGCATTTCCAATAAAAACGCACGAATGAAATTGCACAGCGATAGAAGTGATCGACTGAAACGACGGAGAAGGAAATAAATATCTTCGTAGCTGCTTTCGTGTTTTCGTGTAAAAATTCCTGATGACTCGCAACAAGAGTTTACTGCACCAAACAAGGCGGCACGTAATTAAGAGTGCAAACGTTGGAGGAAGAATTTATTCAGCCGAGCAAAGAGACATTAATTAAGAGAGAGCGCGAGAAAGAGAGAGAAAGAACGAATCGAGGAGATGTGCATAAAAATTTTTGAGTTGCAACGGTGCATGGCGGTATAGAAATTGCTCCCGTTACCAGTTAGGATACTATCGAGTCAGAAATCTTAACATTTTAAAACACCATGTATGACCAGCATTTTTATAAAAAAAATTCGTTATTCGGATTATTCAAATACATTATAATTCGCGCCTCGAATAATTGTGGGCCGCACCGTGGAAGGGCGCTGTCGTTGTTGTGTGCCCTTCTAACCTAAAATGTGGGTCGTAAAACGTTGTTTCATCGGCATGTATTACAATGAATTCGTTGAATTAATTACGAACTCTAATTGATATTAATTATTGATACAATTCATGATCGATCGTTTCTAGTTTCCTTGTATCGTATTAAATACATTTATTACAACCTTGCAACGCGCCGTCAACTATCGCTGTGCGTCTGTCATACGGTTTTGCGAGTTTTTATATTGTGGTTCGCGGAAAAGCGAATGATAACGCGAAAGGAATAATAGTATATTTTTGTTCCGACACTCTAGCAGGATAACGTCTCGCAGCGAACAAATATGTTCCAGAACGCGGAAGTCGAAAAATTGGATCGTTGGCTATCGTTTACGATCGAGTGCGGCCATTTTTCGCGAGCGCGATTGAGAAACGACAGGACTCGTTGGAACGGCGCAGAGTATCCGGATAATTGGGTTTCCAATCAGCGGATCGGATTAGGGCACGTTAAAAGAGTTCCGACGACCGGTATACCGCCGTCTCTATTACACGATTGATGAATCGATCGCATGGCCGGCCTGTCTCGGATTGCAATTCACGACACACAGCACAAGATTGCCCGCAGGATTATTCCGTTAATGCATATCGATGCACTCCTTATAACCGAATCGATCCGCGCGACCGGCCGCTGAATTTTAAGGGGGATATTCTCCAAGTGCGTATTCCGTTTCTGCTTAACCTTCCTCGGGTTCGTTTCACGCGTTGTTTCGTTTTATTTATTTCTCTCGTTTTCTTTCTGTTTCATTTACTTTGAACCTTCATGTACTATCGCTTGATTACCACTTAATTTACTGTTACTTAATTCTTGGCAAATTCGAATACGATAAATTGCTGTCGCATTAGAAACAACGGAAAGGTTAATAAGTATCGAAAAAATATCTTCGAAAATATGCTTCGGAAAATTGTTGAATAAAGCTTGGAATTGTTATAAACGTCGTGGAATAGTACAGTTGTGATAATGGTTTGCCGTTTGGTGTCCGGTTACAGTAAATACTGAAACAAAAGTAACAAGATCATTGACCATGGTTTATGTATAATTTCCTGTGTCAAGCTATAGTTTCTTATCGAGAGGTATAGTGTTTACATGGATAACATTTGGTCGGTCCGTATTTTCTCAATTTATTATAATTGAGGTGTAACACGAATGACGCATGGGTTGCAATATCGACCTGCATTATCGACCGCGTTCTCTCATAGCGACGACCACGCAGTGTTGACCACGCGTAAATCCGCTTTGAAGGGTCCATAAATCTACGGATATCTTTCATATACATAAATTGAAGCTAAAGCTACCATAAACAGTTGTTACATATACAGGGTGTGTTGTTTAAGT